TACACGAAAGCTGTGTCACTGTCCCCAGGGTCAAGGTGGTGACTAGAACGTCCTGAATGAGTTGTGTCCAGTACAAAACTAATAGCCGACGAGGTAAGAAGAAACATGGGAGACCAAGTATACCTACATCAGGAAAGGGGGTTGGATCCTGTCCCTACTACCCCAAGAAAGTGCCTTTAACAACAACAACAACAACAACAACAAAACAAAAACAAAAGAAACGGGCTCATTATGTGGTCCAGGTTGGTCAGGAATTCACTATACAGCTCAGACTGGCCTCAAACTCCCAATCGCCCTGCCTGCCTTAAAGTACTAGGAGTACAGGTTACAGGCAAAGGTTCACAGCAAAAGGAGGCTTGTTTAAAGTACTAAAAATATGGAATTCTGTAGGATTAGGCACTTGAGAAATTGTGAACGTATAAATTCAGGGAGGGTTCAAATGAGACATTTCCCGAACCTGATGCTTGAAGCGTCAGGTAGTGGATAAGAAGGCAGGTTTCAAAGATCACAAGGTCAGTGGGTCACGTACTAAACATACAAAGACTCACAGGAAGACGTAGCCAGCCCAGGTGTAGACTGTCTCCCCGAGGCTCTGCTGTGTTTTAAAGTATGGCTCCTTATCTGAATTATGTTTATCAGTGAAAAGGGTCAAAACTTAGCAACATTTCCTCAAATTCCTAGGAGGCAATGCTGTACCTAATCTCTCTAATCAGCAGTGATTTATTTTCTCCGGTGTGCCTACGGCACCCATGGGTGGGTACTAGCTCTACATCCCAGCCAGTGCCTGTAACTGCTGTTGTACTTTCCAGGAGACAATGTCACCCAATAATTAAATCTGAGGACAGGGATCCCATTTCCCCCACTAACCTGCTGACTTGCAGCCAGTTAATAGACTTTGCAAACCTGCTTTTAAAGGTGGCTGGCACAACAGTATATCAAAAATGGGGGAGGGGGTATGTTCCTGTTTGGCTCAAATGAAAACCACATTGGATTTTCAGGACCAGCACTCCACTGTTTAGGTACACCTGTTTTGTCGGGGTCCTTTACGACTTGGCGTTTCCTACTTGTAAATATACAAGCAGCAGGTACCTTTCAAGTCTGTATCTTTTGCCTTTAAAACTTCGGTACATTGTCCTCGGTTCCTCCAAGGGGTACCATGTGCCATCCATCGCAGCGATATTTTTAACTAAATGGTTCCAGTAGCAACATAAGCACAGGGAACTGTAGCCAACTTTTCAGAAACAACACCGCTCGCTAGATGAGCAATCTACCGTAGTCATAGCATGACATCGTCCAATAGTAACGACAGATGTACGGAAAACAAGCTCCATCCTTGTTCTCAGAAAACACCATCAGACTTTCTGCTCTTTTGGCTCTAAGAATAAAAAATGATTTGCGTGGCTTCACAGCGCACAACTGAGTGAAGTTGGCATCTTCACCTGGGCGACGAAGGTATACCGCAGAGGGCAAAGGAGACCTGGCTCCCGTCGTTCCTCCTCTGTGACACAGAGCTTACATGGGCACTAACTAATGTATCACCGCAAAACAGGGTTTACGAAATCTAACGTTAAGAGACCACCAGGCAGAACCAAGGAAAAGTAAACAGCCCCGGCCTCGGACAGTCCGGCCGGGCAGCTAGCTGGGCCGGGCACCTTCGCCCGGGGCACAAACCCGTCTCGGAGCACGCAGAGAATCTGGACAAACCTGTCCCGAGGTGATGCAAGGCTGGTGCCCGGCCCTAGCCTCTCAGCTGGCTGGAGGCCGGCCGGGCCCGCGAGTCTGCAGCCGAGGCCAAGGGCCTGGGGCTTCACGGCAGCCCCTCGGCGGGGCGACGGGACACAGAGCGGGCCGGGAGGCCCGACGGGACAGCCACCGAGCCCGCCTCCCTTTTCTTCCACGGCCGTCCGCCGAGGCCGCGCAGCAGGTGCCTGGAGCGCACAGGTGCGGCCCCGCCCCCGTGTCCCCGCGCGGCCGCCGTCGCCCGAGTCCCTAGCGCTCCGCAGGGAACCGAACGCCGGGCCGCGGACATCGCCCCGCAGCCTGGACGGCTCAGCAGCCACCGGCCAAGAGGCAGGACTCTCACCTGGACGCCCTCGTTGCGGAGCTCCGGCGGCCGAGCGCCACCGCGACCCGACAGCATCTCCGGCCGCAGCGCAGGCCGGCCCCTGCCGCTCCTCTCCCGCAGCGCCCCGCCCCGCCCTGCCCTCGGCGGGACACGCCCTGGACACGCCCCCAGCCTGGGACCTTCCGCTCGGACGCCCATGCCGAGTGGCTCTCTCGCTGTCCATCAAGGACGTGCTTCCGGAAGGCGCGGGGGGTCGGTGCTCCGTCCTGCCAATCAAATCAGCGCCGCTCGGGTGGGGCCGCGCTCGTCCCTCCCCTTACGTAACAGCGCTCAAGGCAAGCTGTCAATCAAAGAAGCTTCCATCCCTGGGGAGGTGGGGGAGTGGAGGTGGGAAACAAACAGGCACCCGGCCACCATTGGACACGGCGTGTGCCAGTCACCATGGAGACCCGCCCAGAGGTTTATGCGGCAGCCACTGGCGCCATTCCCTGGCAGTGATTGCGGCTAGCTCCTGGCTCTGTGGGGCGCTGCCTGGTACCCTGGAAGGGGCTGGGCCTCCACGTCGGGGACTCTGAGCCAGTGGCTGGAGCGGGAGGGCTGGTAGCTCCCTAGTGGGAGTGATGTAGGAGAAACTGGAAGTAGTAAAATTGGCGCTATACTGGATTTATTAATTAAACTAACTCCAAGAGCAGTTCTATACTAACCAGGCTTGTTAGAAGTAGTTCTATCAATGTTTGTTCCTGGGGATTGCCCATAACCCAAAGAGACAACTCTGATTTACAACCAGCCATTAAGCCCATTGCCGAATCAGAGAGCACGCCTCTAACAGGCAGTTCAAGGGAGGTAGGGCAGAGGGACAAACGACCTTAAGGACTGGCCTGAAATAAAGCCGGGTTTCTCTTCTGGAGAAGCATAACTCTGCCAGGTGGACAAGATGACCCTGGGTAACAACTATGGGTGGTTGTGGTGCACGCCTTGAATCCCAGCACTCGGGAGGCAGAAAAAAAAAGAAGGGAAGGGAAAGGGAAAGAAGGGAAGGGGGAAGAAGGGAAGGGGGAAGAAGGGAAGGGGGAAGAAGGGAAGGGGGAAGAAGGGAAGGGAAAAGAAGGGGAGGGGGAAGAAGGGAAAGGGAAGGGAAGGAAAGAGGAAAGGAAGGAAGGAAGGAAAAAAAGAATAATTCTGGCAACATTTCGCTGTGTAAATCTCCCATCTGGCCAAGTGGCCAGACTTGTAGCCTATAGTCAATGTTTAAATTGTTTAAAATGTAACCTAGGGCCAGGACCTGAAAGAGATTTAAGGATGACAGCATAAATGAAATGTATAAGCCTGAGGCCTACAGAAGTTAGTAAAATTTTCTGTTGGAGGCAAGTTTCTCTTTGAGCATTAGCCAGGGCCAGAAGCACTCTATTATGAAACCGCTTTTCTGTGTTTTTCCTGAGTGTATAGAGTCAGTTCTCACTGGAGGGCATATTTTTCTGCTTCCGGAGGCACACCCATCTCTGGCAGGTAGGGCAGGGGAGCTGGTGGTTCCAGGCCCCTGCAGGAGCCCCTCCACTGACCTATTGGGGCACCTGGAGAACCAGGCAACAACAGTGTCAGAGGTCTCCATGGCGATGTGGAGCCCACTCCTGCTTAGCTCCTGCGTGTGGCTCTCACTTTGACCTGAAACACTTGTGACTTTTCCTGCTCAAATGCCCTCCTACTGGGCAGATTTCAAGCTCAGTAAAGCCCCAAACTCCCCTGGCTTTCAAGCCACCCTCTTCGGGCCTCCCTCTGGTCTCTCCAATTCTGTGAAGGCTGCCATTGGCTTTTATGCCTCCAAGCCCTCTAATCCATCATCACACAGTACTGAACAATCCTGGCCACGCTCTCCCTCACCCACCCCCTTTTTTTAGACACAACACTTGGGGCTTTTCTGTGGCCTCACTGGGTACCTTCCACTGAGTAGTTTACTTCTTCCATTTCGGTTGCCACTGAGATTCTGGTAAATGATTTACTAAGTGGCAGGAAGCCGAACTCTGATGGCAATCCCAAAGATCGGTTCAGATATCCAACTTCCTCCCCCAGCTGAAAACAGCCCTGAGTGGCTTCCTCTCATCAGTTTGGATACATTTAAGAATGTTCTGGTCCTGTTAGTACTGGTCTTAAAAGGAAGGAGAGCTGCATTCCCTGGCCACAGAAAATCTCCTTTGGAATCTCTTTAGCCCAATGTTTCCCAGGGCGCCATCCTTGTCTGAGACTGTCTGTCTCTGGTTTCCAGCTTTCCCGATTCCCTGTTCACTGAGAGTCGACTCACAGACATTCCTCGGGGCAGATCTCTCCGCTGAGGTTTTTTCTTGCATGCATCCACCTGCCCATCTCACATTGGATGCCCAGACACATAATTCCAGTGCCAGAGTGCTTATTCCTGACTATGCCAAACAGCCAACTCCAGCTGCTTTACATAGCAAGAGAGCTCCTTCTGTTGTGAGATGGGCAGGCTCTAAAAAAGGCACTACACTTCTCATGGTGTGTGGCTCTTAGTAAAATGGCTGCAGCCAGAGAATTCCAAGGCCTAGCAAAATACAAAGTAAATATGTCTTCCAGGGGTCTCTTGGTGGGCATGAATACCTTTCATCAGAAGAAATGCCGGAATGTCTCAGTGACCAGACAGGAGTCACTGGGTTTCTGAATACAGCCCAAAGGAGTCAAAAGCCAGGGACTAAGCTGCCACAATTAGGGGCAGAATCATTTTACCTTGGATCCCTGGAATTCAGGGAAAAGAGGCACACAATGCCACCGGAGTTCAGAACATGTCACTTTCTGTGGAGAGCAGATGTAGGGGCAACCTGAGGCCAGCAGGAGACAATCACATGAGTTTAATGACAGAGCTGGAGAACTGAATCAGTTCCCAAGTATTTAAGAGCTAGAGTGGAGAAAAGTAAGCCATGGATTAGATACAGAGCTATGAAAGGGGGCTTTAAGGGACGATGATCTAGATCAGTGGTTCTCACCTGTGGGTCAAGACCCCCTTGGAGGGTTGAATGACCTTTTCATAGGAGTCACCTAAGACCACCGGGAAACACAGATACTTACAGTACAATTCACAACAGTAGCAAAATTATAATTATGAAGTAGAAACAAAAATAATTTTATGGTTGGGGGTCAGCACAACCTGAGGAACTGTGTTAAAGGGTCTCAGCATTAGGAAGGGTGAGAACCACTGATGTAGATGTTTGGATAAGTTACTGGCTGGTCAGACCACTCTGTGAAATGAGAAGTGGAACAGGGTTGGTGGGGGGAGTGTGCGGTTTGGTTGGGGGTTGAGGGGTTTGGTGGGGGTGGGAAAGAAATGAGTGGTTATCATTGCTGTGGATTATGCCCACTGTTAATAAAAAACTGATTGACTGATAGTAGGGTAAGAAGAGATTGAGCGAGACAGCCTGATACATAGAGAATGATGAGAGGAAGAAGGGCAGAGTCGGGGGGGAGGGGGGGATGCCAGCCAGCTGCCAAGCAAGCAGGATGTGTAAAAAATGAGGTAACAACATGCCAGATGGTGGTGGCACACGCCTTTAATCCCAGGGAGGCAGAGCCAAGCAGATCTTTGTGAGTTTAAGGCCAGACTGGTTTACAGAGCAAGATCCAGGATAGGCACCAAAACTACACAAAGAAACCGTCTTGAAAAACTGAAGAAAAAAAAAAGAGAGTTAACAAATCACGAGCCATGTGGCAAAGCAAAAATAGAAATACGGGTTAATTTAAGTGTAAAAGTTAGCTAGTAACAAGCCTGAGCTATCAGCCGAGCATTTATAAGTAATATTAAGCCTCAGTGTATTTATTTGGGACAAGGTGGATGGGGCAGGAAACATCTGTTTACATATCATTCCCTCCTCCTTTGTTGCTAACACAGCTTTGCTTTTGTTGAGTGCAAGCCCTTCTGAGATTTTCCATTGGTTTCCTAATAGGAAGAGACTAGACTTCTCATGCTGGCTGTGTCTGGTGCAGCTCTCCCCTCCTCCAATGCCTGGAGATGTGCTGCTCTCCACAGGCGGGGCAGTTGTACTGTGGTCTTCCTACTCTCTTAGCTCAGTCTGTGGCAGGGCAGTGCAATGCTGTTTCTTTGGGAGCTGCCATGACAAGTGTCCATCTCTCACTCTCATCAGTAAGCTCTGTGAGGGAGGACCATGACTGTTGGGCTCTCCATTGCTTTCCCGCATCCAGCCTCATGCCAGGATGGAGTAGGGACACAAAAACCGCAAAGGAACAGCCAACTGAAGTATGTTTGTGCACTCTTCGCTGAGCCAAAAATGGGAGGAAATGGGGTGTCCTTCTGAAATTCTGCAGGAAATTGATTTCCAAAGGGACAGTGTCTAGAGGGGAGGCACCATTCAGAGGGGTACA